GTTATAGCATTTGTGCTTCCTGTTGTACGTATTTTGTATACAGTACTTTGTTTTGTGATTGGTCACAGTAAGGTAGAAGCAGTCTTAATTTGTAAGTTTAATACTGGAAGTGCATGTCCCTGAAGAAATCTTGTGTGCAGAGAGAGAAAAATGCTAATTGCAGTCAATATGCCTTCCCCACATAAACAGTTTGGGCATTAGCAATTAGACATAGGGGTATTTGTACACAAATACGAATACCCCTACCCTTCTGCTGCTCCTGCAGTCTCCATGCTCCCTTCCTATCGCTCCAAAGCTCATAGTCGACTAGACACTCCTGGCAGGAGATGGGATGATGAGCCTCCCTGTCAGGTCTAAGAGTGGCTCACAGACCAGGTGCTCCAAAGTGACTGGAAGAGGGCATGGAGCCCACAGCAGCAGCGGAAGGGTGAGGGGACAGTCCGGCCCCAGGGAGCCGGATCTTCATTATCTCCGCCTGTGTGGTGGGTATTCTTATAACAATACCCCCTTCTCTATTAGCAATTATAGATTGCAACCTATCTCATGACATTTGCCACTCTGTTACTAGAAAGTACAGGTTTTGTGGACATAACAGGGTTATGGGTTCTGCATCCTGCGTAGATTCATGGCTGTCCACAAAATATTCTATTTTGCCTTCCAACATACAGTTATCATTCTGCAGCCTGTTGAACAGTTTGTATAATTTCCTATACTCATTTCTCTGGCCTCTCAACATACAGGAGTACCTGTATCAGTTTCCCTTTTAAAATCCTTTGTACTAAGCCTCTGACATTGTGGTAGTTCATTTTTTTTGTTTCCTTTGAATTTAACTGGTCTTCTTTAAAATTTATTTGAAAATATAGTATAGTATTTATTTATTTATTTATTTATTTGTTTGTTTGTTTGTTTGTTTGTTTATTTATTTATTAGATTTCTATCCTGCCCTTTTAGACAAAGTCTAGAGGCGTATTAGACTCCTGTAGCTTAGCATAGTACAGTGGACCCTCGACGTACGCACGGCGTGACGTGCGTACTTTTCGAGGTCCAGACTTCTCCGGCCACAAGATTTCCAGTCAACTTGCAGTCAGAGAATTGACCTATGGACCGGAAGGGGGAGGCGGGGAAAGCGCCACATTCAAATCTGGTGCTTTCCCCACCTCCCCTTTCCAGTCCGTAGGCCGCCGATCGTGCCTCCGGATGCCTTCCAGGGCATCTCGGAGGTCTGCCCCACTGCCAATAGTGCCACCAAAGCACAATCACCAGCGGGGGGCGCCAAGAGGCCTCCCATGGTGGCGGAGAAGCCCTGGAAGGCATCCGGAGGTCCCCTGCCACCCTCGCCACTGCTGGGAGCTGAGCAGCACCGGACAATCCTGGCCATGCTTGGACTCCTGGACTTCCCCCGCCGCTGCCACTGCTGGAGTCGAACCACGCCACGCTCAGACAGCAGCGGCGGCGGGGGAAGTCCAGCAGCCCGAGTATGGCCAGGATCGCCCGGCGCGGCTCAGCTCCCAGCAGCAGTGGTGGGGGACCTCTGGAGGCCTTCCAAGGCTTTTCTGCCACCATGGGAGGCCTCTCGGAAGTCCCCACCCCACTGCCGACTGTGCTTCGGAGGCACTGTTGGCAGTGGGGGGGACCTCCGAGAGGCCTCCGGCAGTGGCAATAGCAGCAGCGAGGGACCTCCGAGAGGCCTCCGGCTGCAGCAGAGAAGCTCTCGGAGGCCTCGGGCAGCAGCGATGGCGGTGGCAGGGGACCCCTGGAAGGCTTCAGAAAGGTAAGTTTATTTTAAAAAATTTTTGTGGGGGGGTTCTTGGGCTGGTTACAGATTAAATGGTTTTCAATGCATTTCTATGGGAAATGCATTTTCGACCTACGGACACCATTCCAATACGGATTAATTCCGTAGTTTGAGGGTCCACTGTAAGTTGCAGCTAGAATAGGCCCACTAAATTGGTGGGATTTGATGAATCAACTCCTTTGTAAATTCAATTAATTCAATGGGCCTACTACTCTAGTTACTATGCTAAGCCACAGTATTTCAGCCTATACTTTGTTTAGCTGTTATCAAATCCAGCCCATCTTGGAAATATTACGCTTAAAACAAACAAAAAAGCTAATTCTGTAAAAATGTAACAGAGAAACAGACAATTGAAAAACCCTTCTATAAAATGGCTGATGCTGTTCTTTAAACTGTTGAACTAGGCTGCCATCTATTGGAAAACAGTTATTTTAAAAATAATCTGTGTTAAATGTGTGAATTTTTAGAAGCCTCTCATTATTAACGTAACAATTATTTGGTAATCAATACATGGAGGCTGTACTCAGAAGGTAGACTTTAAAGTCCTATTTTACTTTCATCTTAACTACAAACAAATGGCTCATTTGTCTCACTCATAGTGAGAAGAACTATGAGTGTTCATTTAATGTGCTTCATTTAAATGAATTAAGTGAAGGCCCACATTTCAGATGATTATATTCACATGATGCAAATAAAGATGTGTGAATTATTTTAAAAATAAAACAGGTTCAATAGGAGAAATTGTCCTTGTTATTTCAATTTATTGACCCATATTTACAGAACTATGTTTCCAAAAAAAAAATGCTTTCTTCATAAATAGAGAGGAAGAATGAATATTTTTCCATATGTCAACATTTTTGTCTTTCTGGGGCTATACGATTAGAGAGTGTTATTGACTATGTATTCTTGCATGATTTTTACACTACTCTCAGGAAAAGACTCATGACAATAAAGAATTTCTGGTACAATTTACTCTTTTTAGTTTTTAATATTGTGTTTTTCATGATGCATGCTGCTGTGGGTCCTTTTTTTTAAAAAAAGAGAAAGGTGGGTTGTAAATGAATGAATGAATGAATGGATGGATGAATGAATGAATGAATGAATAGGATCCTTATATAGCCAGTCAAGGAAATAACCTGTCATGTCTCCCAAAGCAAAAGTTGGAAGGCTTTTGCAGTAAATTGTGCACATACTGTGTTGGTTTGATTAAGAGGGTTATTTTCCCCCTTCCCCCAATATTTCTGGCAAAACTTCTAAGAAGCTAAGGTCTCCTTATTTATTTATCATGATTCATGACCATGTTTGCAGTGATATACCTGGGAGCACCTTAAAATGGATGTTGCCTTCTTGGATAGTACTGGAATTCTTTGTGGCACAGTGGTGGTACCCATTTTTCACCATGCTATAGCTGTCTAACCATAAAGAGACATTGGTTGGCCAGGGGTGGAGTTTCAACAGGCTGACCTGACATGAGCGGTCTTTACTCTAGTCCATGCATAAGATGTTTAAGACCTCCCCAGTTCTCACAAGCAGCAGTTGTTGTCAAGATTTCAGGAGGTACACAGAGGGAGAGGAAGGGGAAGCTCACAGAGGAGACAACATAGCAATGAAGCACCAAGAATAGTGGAGACAGAATCAGGTGGAGGAAATTAAAGGAGAAATAGCAGTGGCAGTAGCAGCTAGCAAAGCAGTGGTGAGAACAGAAAACATTGAGCTCATCTACGTTGTGGTTCTGCATTTCCAAAATGGAAAAAGTTCTAAAATCACTGGAGAGCGTGTGGGGCTGATCTTATCAGTTGAGTGAGAGATGGCTGAACAGCCATGAGGGTCCAGCACCATCATCACCTTCAATACCACCAATATCCATTGGTGAATAATCTGCTCTTTGCACAATTATAAGACAGCCTTTCCTCAAAAGGCATCCAAGAAGGCAGCCCTATATAGCAAATCACAAAAAGGAAAGGGAGTTCTGTGGTGCCATAAGATGGTGACAGAGTGAGGGGTGGGAATACTGGCTAGAAGTTCCCAGTTTCAGTAAGCTTGTGTATAGGAGAGGCTGTATATAAAGGAAGATTGCAAGCAAAAGTGTTTAAAGGGATTGGGCTTTTCAGGTTTAAGGAACATGTTCTTTGCTTGCAGGAGGTCTCTTATTGTACTTTTAATTTTAATTCTTTTAATGTTTATGCCTTTCAAGTTCAACATACTATCAAAGATAAGACTAACTAAAATTTACAGGCCCTTGATCTTCTTCAATAAGATGTGTATTGATGTTGGGGGAAGTAAGAATTTGGAAAGTTAAGAGTTTGGACCATGTGCTCAACTTCAAAAATGTTCTGAAATTCTTCAGTAACTCTTTTTATTTAGTGGTAGAGTTTCTCTTTCTGTCCACAGACTTTAGGACCCTTAACAGAACTATACTGAAGAGTAAGGATTTGTATTTTACACAGTTTTTTCCTCATGCTACCTTTAAAGCAACCTTACATGTTGCAGGATATAAATATTTAAACATACAATGGCAAAAATCCTATTAGATAAAGTATGCCTGACAGGGTAAAACAATTGGTTTAAAGCTTGTTGGTAATTTGCCTCAATTTAAGAAATTAGTGTAGGCATTTGCTGTTGCGTGCAAGTCATGTGATTCAGTATACAACAGAGATAGCATACCCTGACTTCTATAATGTGCCAATAAAATTTATACCAGCTGAGCTACACTGGTCTAAGAAAAGGATTTTATTTGTTTGTTTGTTTGTTTGTTTGTTTGTTTGTTTGTTTGTTTGTTTGTTTGTTTGTTTGTTTGTTTGTTTGTTTGTTTGTTTGTTTGTTTGNTTGTTTGTTTGGTTGTTTGTTTATTTATTTATTTATTTATTTATTTATTTATTTATTTATTTATTGGACTTATATACCGCCCCATAGCGCTACAAGCACTCTTCGGGCGGTTTACAATTTAATTATACAGGCTACACATTGCCCCCCCAGCAAGCTGGGTACTCATTTTACCGACCTCAGAAGGATGGAAGGCTGAGTCAACCTTGAGCCGGCTACCTGGGATTTGAACCCCAGGTCGTGAGCAGGTTTTTTTTTTTTAGCTGTAGTACAGTGTTTTAACTACTGCGCCACGAGGCTCAGATATTTTGGCCAAAATATTTAAGTGCCAATATTAAACAATTTCATTGTTAGAATCTGTGTTATGGCTCATCGCACTTACTACATTAGATTTGGTTTGGCATCCATTCATCACTGGTTCTTCTGACACTTTGTTAGCATTATCCGAGTAGTGGTCTGAAACTGTCTGGCATAACTCTTCCAAAGAATAATCCTTTTCTTGGCACAATTTGATTTCATCTAAGAGCTTTGATAACTCTCCAGTCACAGCTTCACCTTTACAAAAAAGGAAAATATGAGTATAATAGAATAAAGGAAGCAAACTTAATCAATTTCTTTGAATCATGATATTGAATATATGTTGCAGAGTTTTGAATTTTAATCAGATTCATCCAACTGTGCAGCAGAGGTACAGGGATTCACAGGGCAGAATAGTTTCCTCCAACTGTGCAGCAGAAGTACAGGGATTCACCAAGGCAGAATAGTTTCAAGATCCCCAGATTAGTTCACCCCTTTTTACTCATCAACTAGGACTTACAATATCAAAACTCACACTGAGACATTATTAGTAGAAAGAATAGAACATGTTACCTTATAGTTGAACAGATCTATAGTAAAACTAACAAACATGGCTAGATGACTATCAGAAAATGGCCTCAATAGACTCACTGCTTTCAAGAGAAAACTGAGGAAAGGAGATGAGCAGAGATGAGGGCTCTTTTTGAAATCAGAAGAAGGAAAGGAACAATTGGTTACTGCTGGGTAGACTGACAGGCACCCAGCCCTGAAAGGTCCCTCCCAGTCACATCTTCTAGAGACAGCATGTGAGGCTGCAAAAAAAACCCTCCAACAATATATTCTACTGTGAGAGGTCCAGAGTTGGAAACACATTAAAAGCTATTAAAGCTGTTGCAGTATGTGTGATTTTAAATGGTTTTAAATTGGTCTAGATCAGTGCTTCCTAATCTTGGTTAACCCAGTTGTTCTTGGACTGCAATTCCCTGAAGCCTTTACCACTAGCCAAAACAGCAGCCATTTTAATTCACATCAGGGTGAAACAGGAATGATTGCTGACTGGAGGAGAATTAATATGGATGGGTATGTCTGGTCTCCATTGTCCTTCACCATAATCACAATAAATGGACTGCCAGTCATTCAATATCTTTCCCATTGCCTTATATCAAGAATGTAAGCTTTATTTAGCTGGGACACAGCCTCCATTTTGCAACTTGGTCACAATGATGAAATTGGGATTCTTCTGTTTCTCTCCCAGCCCCAACACTGCAAGGTCCAGCCTGACAAAGGGTTCTGCAGGACTTGAAAGTATCACAAAGAACAGGTGGAATGTTTGGGTTTTGGTAACAATGTCACAATACAGAAGGAAGATAGATGCACTGAAATCCCAGCATTTAGTCTTGTATGTTGACAGACTGCAGCATTACGGAACGATGGAAACATACACTGTTAGTATAATCAGCCAACTTTGGCAAATGGTACCTCTTTTCCAACCTATTCTTCTTCCTTCTATGCTGAAGAAGAGTCCATTGAAATACCTGATTTTGACAAGTGGAGAAGCTTCCTTGGTGATGGGAATGACAAGATACAGCACCAGAAATTAGTACCTGTTTGACTAGCCTCCTATAACTGAAACTTTCCTGGGAATGTATCCGCGAAGGCTTTCACGGCCAGGATCTAATGGTTGTTGTGGCTTTTTCGGGCTCTTTAGCCGTGTTCTGAAGGTTGTTCTTCCTAACGTTTCACCAGTCTCTGTGGCCAGCATCTTCAGAGGACAGCACTCTGTGCTCTGGTGTAGTTTGGCTTAGGGAGTGCAGTATTTATGGCTGTGAGATAGGTTTTTGTCTTTTTCACCCATCTACAGAAAAAGACAAAAGCCTATCTCACAGCCATAAATACTGCACTCCCTAAGCCAAACTACACCAGAGCACAGAGTGCTGTCCTCTGAAGATGCTGGCCACAGAGACTCCTGAGAATATCTGAAAGCAAAGTGTATACAACATTCACAGGTAAACATGGCCTTTCATGCTTACTGTAGATCTGTTACTCTATGTAAGGAAATCAACACAGTCATGAGGATTTTAATTATATCTTGAAAATATGTTAATATGTAACAATTTGGTAAAATATTAGTAAATCTAGAAATAATAAGATATTTACTTTTTGTTGTTTGTGTAGGAGAAACCTCTGGAGACAAAACACAAGACTGGTGATCTGTCACTGGACATTCCTGTATGGGTTCTTCTGGAACTGTTGCATTTCCTGTTTCCATATACTCTGTAGTTAAAAAAAAACACATGCAAGCAAAGTAACCATATCTGAATTAGTCTAATTGTGGGAAGCCACCACACCACCTTCCACTGAACAGGTCAGTTGTGAGCAAACAAGCTCTTTATTCTCGTTTTATAGGAACTCAAATACTGCATACTTGGCATATAACAGAAAGTGTTTCTTTTTCCACTTCTAATGCTTTATTCTTTCCAATGGGGGTAGCATTATAGTGAAGGAAATTTAGGGTTAGGGGGGTAGGTATGGATAGAGAAAGGGTAAAATTCCAGAGAGTGAGATAGTACATTTACAACACTGTGTACAATTATACTACAAAGAGAGATAAGAAGAAAAAGAGCAAATTTTCCCAGTATTACTATAGTACAGTATTACTTTCTATTCCCTAATTGGACCTTCACATTCTTCTTTAATCTATGCTTTCCAAGGTATATTTCAAGTCTAATTATGAAATTATTCCCTATATATCCACCAAACATAATAAAAGTCTCCACCTGCATTTTACATTTCTCACACTACCCTGTTTTCCCAAAAAGAAGATCTAACCTGAAAATAAGCCCTAGTATGATTTTTTAGGATGCTCGTAATATAAGCTCTACCTCAAAAATAAGTCCCAGTTAAATGAAACCCCACCCTCCACCATTATGCAGCATTGTGCAGCAACCAGAAGAAGATGACATGACTGTAAAATAAAACATCCCCTGAAAATAAGCCCTAATGCATTTCGGAAGCAAAAATTAATATTAAGACCCTTTTTATTTTTGGAGAAACATGGGTTTTAAAAACATTTTTGTACCTTTAAAAAAATTGTTGGCATTGTGTACCATTTGTAAATTATATATCATCTATAAAACATTTTATCTGCATTTTCTTTAATAGCTACTGATTTCTAAAGATTAATGTTTTTATATCATTTTATACCCATTATATTCTACAGTCTTTAACCATTTTATTCATTTAGTCCATCTTCATTGTTGAGGATTTCCTTTCCTCCTTCTGGATCCTCTTGTTTTTATAGCGTGCTTTCCATTAGAACTTCTCACTTGCTCTTCTGCTCTAGTCAAGCTTCTTTCTGCCTCTGATCCTGATGATTCACTTGATTTCTCCTTTTCTCGTTTCTCATTTGCTTTTTTCTCCTCTTTTCTGCCCAGCCACTTCTTTGTTTTCATAAAACCTTCTGCCTTCATTTTTAAGTTAATATAATGACTCTGTTCCTGGAATTCAAAGAGAACACCTTCAGGCACCAATCACTTATACATAATCAACTTTGTTCTCAAGAGGGATATCAACTCCACATTTTGTCTTCTTTTCTGTCGTATTTGCCATTGATTATGTTTCAGGATCTTAATTTCTTTATCTTTTCTATGCCTTGCCTTGTATATTTCTTAAAACTTTTTATCGAAAGATCTTTCTCATAAATTTAACATTAATTTCTCTGGGGAGATTTTAATTCCTGGTGTATGCTGCATTAATTCTTTGTGCTGTGTCTATATTTTGTTGAACATCCTCTGGCCGAATCTCCATGAGCAATGCTAAATAAGTAGTAATCACTTGTGCTGTATCTTCTTTTTGTTCTGATAGATTCTGGAATCTATGTATGGCATTGACTCTTTCCATCTGTAGATTTAACAGAGTAATTTCATCTTGCTTGCTTTCCTGTTTTAGTTCTTCCATCTCCATTCATAATTACCAGTCTTTCTTCTGATCTTTTTGATATCACAGCTATTCTGGCTATTTCTTTTTTATTTTCTGTAATTTGATTTTTAATATCAAGTAATTTGCATCCCTAATTCTTTCATTTGTGCACATAGCTGAACCATCCCCCCTTGTAGTTGCTGTAGCCTTGTAGATAACATTTCTCTGTTGCCAGTCCTTAAATGACTCTTACCCCAATAATTCACTGAGATATTGTGCCAATGAGCCTCTTTGAGTTCTCTCTTTTCCACCTTTTGTCACCATATTGATTTTCTTCTTCTTCTTCTTAAATTAGGTAAATAAGGAATGCTATTTAAAACTTCAGTCAGCAGCTGTTATTTTCCCTTTAAGGAGTGCTGTTCAAGTTTTCTGCTAGCAGATGTCACTATAACCTAATTTTCTTTCTCAAGGTACAGGTAGTTTTCTCTCCCTTCTCCCTTTTTCTCTCCTCTCCTCTTCTTCTCCCAATCCAAGCTGGGGGGGGGTCACTTCTTCCATTATAGTAAGATTTTTTTTAAAGAGGTAAAGTCCATTTTTGCTGACTCTTTATATTGATTTCTTTTCTGTATAGTTATTTAGGTCCATGGAGAGTTTCCTTATAGGAAAAATATCCTAACTTACTCAGAGTCTCTGGTTGAGATAGTTCCAACATTCTTTTGCGGTCTCTCAACTCTGTGCTTGGAGTGGTCCCATCTCTTTGCCAAGATGGCTTCCTCCTCAGTTCGTGCTCTCAGATGTGACTTCAGAGGGGGAACCAGCCATCACCAATTCCACATGCCCGCTTTTCATATCTGCTGCTTCAGATGCTGCTTCTCCTCCTCCACCCCCCCATCCCCGCGGCACAGGAAGTGTCTCTTTAAGGATGCCAGGAAGTTCTGACATTCTCCCAAACAAACTAGTCTCTGTCCTTTAAGGCCGTGGAGGGTGGAACCCCACCTTCTCCATCAGCCCCAACACACCCCTCAAGTGTGAAAGACACATGGTGTTACAGCAGGGATGCTGTATGCAAGCTTGTAGACTTCCCTGCACTTGGGTAGCTTCAGTGCTCACCCAGCCAAGACATCTGAGGGTAAGTGTGCAATGGTGGCCCAATGCACCTCCTCTGAGGCATGCGCAAAGTCTAGCCAGATTCAGGAAGTCTCACCCTGCCAACGCAGTGTCCATGGCAGTGACAGAGGAAATGGGGTAGCTGGCCGAGCCTGTGGGTTCCTCTGCTTTGAGCCTGGTCCTGGGAAAGGGTGGCCGTGTGGTTGCTTTTGGTGGCAGTGTGATTCCTCCAATGCCTCGCCTCATCCCAATGCACCCTGGAAGCTTCCACCCAATAACCAGAGTCTGGATCACAGTGGTAGATTAACTCCAGCCCGCAGAGTATTCTGTCTCCTTCTTAAATTCCTTTGCCCCAGTGCTCACCTGCAGACCCTTAAGAATGTCACCAGCCTCCCAACCCCAGTCCAGAGGTGAGCTGCAGGTGTATAGGCATGGGTTGGCTTGTGCAGAGGTTCACAGCTCACACTCCCCCGTGGGGACAGAGCTATCAGGCTCACACCATTTTAATTAACTTCTGAAGTCCCCACAAATATTCTCACTGAATATATGAATGTGAGAGAAAGATGGTTGAGGAAAGGAAGAATGAAAAAAAAAACATAACCCACTAATCTGGATTGGATTGCAAATATCACAGTGTGCATAAATGCATCAGCATGCAACTTCATGATGTATATGCTAACATATAATAGGAGAGGATCCACTACAAATACCTGGATTCTCTCATTCATTTTCTTTACTTCCTTATTTTATGTCAGCCGAAGACCCTTCTGAAAGTTATCTTTTTTTGAGGATTAGCATTAATCCAATTATTTATTTTTATGTAAACTTTGAAAAAAAATCAAAGTGTTAAGATCTTTTGCATGCTAAAAACACACTGTAAATATTTAGAAACAAGAATTACAGCTTCCTTCTATATAAAAGTTATTTGAGGAGTATGGGCAATCCCCACAAATATTTTGTAACTGTTTACAGAAATGTTCAGAATCAGAGCTTTCTGAGAGGCTAGAGAAGCTAACATTTAGAACTAAGACAATGCATATCTAGAAGGCAGAGTGGGGCAGGGATGTGTATGAAAAAGCCATGCATCATGACTCTTAGCAAGTGCGTTTTGCTATGTTCAGTGTCTTCCTTTTTATTTTTATTTCCTACATTCCCTTTGTACTTTCCACTTCCAGAAACTTGAGCTTATGCTATATCATCTTTAATTCTTTAATCTACCCTGATATTAAAGGACTACACCTGAAATAGGAATTCCACAGTCAATTGACACTTGAAATTGTCTGTGCCTCAGATGACTCTATAGAAATCAGGGTGGATGATGAGATCATCCCAGAAACTGTGGTAGGCAATAAAAGAAGCATCAAGGCCAAAAAAGCAGATGGTGATTATGAAAAAGCTGTAGAAATCTAGTGAATAGACAGGAGGGTTTAGTATCAGTAGTGTGTTGTAGAACATGGTGAGAGTTAGAACCAAATAGATCAGTGAGATGCCTGAAATGCAAGAACACTAGGCTAGAAGAGCAGTCACTGTGACTGTATCCATTATAAATGACCACTACAGGAGATTAATGGCTGGGAGGAAAGAAGAGTGATGACAGTGATGAAAGAGACGAAGCCAACTTCACAGAACTAAAAAAGTCTCTCAAACTGATTGGTGGGGATTCAGTAGGATGGGATGCTATCGCCACTGGAAATAATGCCAATGTGACTCAGTCCGCTCAAAACAGGGCTCCCTGGCCTCATGAGTTGTGAAAGTGGCATTATTCATATGACACATATTGTACTAAGAGGAGAAGCATGTCTACTCCAAGAACTTTTATAACCTAAAGTGAAAGCTGGAACCAGAAACAACAGGTGTAGGACTGCTGTCATCCTCTGTTGGTCACATCTCAATGCCAGTTGATGTTAGATGTGTACTCATATTAGTAGAGTTCTCAAAAGTTGACCAGGAACCCATTGGGGATCTAATGCGTCCAGGGAAGCACAACGGAACTTTAGAACCATGCAAGCTACCCTATGCTGAATGAAACCTATAGCCCAGAAATGACAGCACTGACAACGTCTTTCCAAGGTTTCAGGCAGGATTGCTCTACATGGAGATGCAGGAGGTTCAGCCTGTGGCATTCTGCAGGCAAAATGTGTTCTACAAACTATGGCCTTCATAGGAAAGTAACTAGAATGAGGTGAGGATTATACATGGATATTCTTCTTGCTGTTTTGACATTTCAGTCCCCTCCCTTTAAAAAAAAA